CTGGCACTTTGTGGTTGCACCTGGTCAGTCAATGCATTGTTTGTGCTACTGTGGTGAGTGGAGTGCGTGTTCAAAGTGCGCGCCATTGGAAAATGCGCGTCACAAAAACAGAAGAAAACAGAGTGCACGCGCGGTGCTGCCTAGACAACGACGATGACGATGGCAGTGAAGACGTCGCATGCACGAGGACGAGTGGCACCCCATGAACGAAATAAAAGATAAGGTAACCAATGATCATAGACCGCAGAGATTTCAAGGCCCAACGGCTGGGTACCACGAAAGTACAGAATCTCCAATCGGGACGACACAAGTGGGCCAGAGCGGAAGTAGAAGCCTGAGCAGAGCAGATCAAGGGGAGTTCGAAGAAGACGGGGCAAGCGGAAGGTCGTCACTGAACCGGGCGCTGAAGAGGGGCCGTTGGGCATCGGACCCGAGCCTGCAGGACCTCAACCGGCCGGGGCCTCTTGCCGTCGTGTTCCCGCTCGAGAAGATCGTGGCTATCCGGTTCTGAACTCTTACCCAGGGCCTGCGGACTTTTGTTCCAACAGGCGAGCAAGAGCCATCGGGCTGCGGGCCCGAGCTGTGCGCCAAGCTGCTTGGCCAGGTTGACTCTGGTTCCCTGATGCGCCGCCACCAGCCTGCGTTTTCTCGTCACCGTCGGGTCCACACTCCTAAAGCCAGAGCCACCACGTTCCGGTCTGGTTTCTCGACGTGTCGTCAGCAGCCAGCGTTCCTTCATCCCCGTCCTGCCCACAACCTGAAGCCCGAATCACCACGTTCTGGTTTGCTCATCGTCGCCGAATTCAGAGTGCGGGTGAGACTGAACAGGTACCTTGCCCTACTACACCGCTCAGCCCAATTCGGACGTTAGATTCAATTGCACACTTTGAACTTCTTTGTTGATTGTTGATAGATGGATTTCGCCATGTCCAGTTAACTGTTTATTAGTTGATTCGTTTTATGGGGCATTTTCGTCTTTTTACTTTTCAATTAAACCTCTTGTTTGAGTTTTTGTACAAACGGCTTTGTCCCTTCGTTAAGTCTCTCGTAGGTTTAAACCTTAGAGAGCTCTTCTTACTAAACATCTAAAAGAACCTTGCATAACAGCTACAAAGGTACGGACCACGTTAGAAGAGAGTGTAAGGTACCCGATGCTCGCATTGTCAGCGTTTTGGCCACAGCGAAGATGAGTACATGCGTACGCAGACATTGGCTATCGGATAAGCCAAAGGTGAAGACACAGCAGAGTTGGTGATAGACCCTACCGAGGCTGAAGACGTGGCGAAAAGGGCAGGTGACGTGGTAAACCCAGATGCTTCAACATGTACAGTCACACCGACTGGTGTCGATGGATCAACAGTACAAGCAGACATGGCATCTGTGGAGGTTACTCAAGAGCCAGCCGGCTAAACCGAGGAAGGCTACACAAGCACCCCATCGAAGGAGCCCAAGCCAGTAATAATAACCGAACAACTTACAGTGTCGACCGAGAGTACCAGTGGTGGGGCGCTAAGCAAAAGACCCCACGAACAGTTTGCAGGAGAGAGGAGGTGCTACGGTCGCCAGTGGATGCAAACGCATGTCACATCGGCTGCATCAATTTGTGAATGTTTCCGAAGCTTTTTCGAGCTCTACCCTTGAAAGTGGCACACCATCGGACAAAGGAAGTCATCGCGAACCCACGGATACCAGCTTTTCGGGTGAGCATGAGCTTTACGAGCTTTAAGGCTCGTAAACTGCAAGAACTATATGAGAGAGCGTCTAGGCCTAAAGGTGGTTTGCCCTGGTGCATACCGCGTCTAACTCGAAGACTGAAAGAACAGCCGAGATTGATGTAGACGAGGCAGGGACAGGGTAAGCCACGGACCACAGGACTGAACAAACAAGAAGCGTTTCCACGAGTGAAGACGAAGGCGCTGACAGCGTTGCAGAGGGCTGGATTGAAGTTACACAAAGAAAAAGAGGACGCGCGTGCCAAAACAAGGTGGTGAGACAAGAAGACGCCCGTTCACCAAGCCCGATGCGCCAAGGCCGCCGAAGCATTGTCAGCAAGGTTCTACGAGCAAACAAGATGCCTAGACTGCCCAGGGACGATATCAAGGTTATTGTTCGACCGAGAAACGGGCTGAATATAAGTAGCAAGTGCGGTGCGAGTCTTCATGAGGCGATACGCAACAGAGCAGGAGTTGGTGACGACGAGAGGATCACGATCTGCCCCAATCCCACGCAAAACATTTTGGTGATAAGCACACCGCAGGAAAGCACAGCAACGGAAATCGCCAAGATGAAGGTTTTGACTATCAACGGAAAGAGGTACGAAACGAACGCAGTTGTTTCGGAGCATGAGAATATGATAAAAGTAATTATACGCAATGTACCTTTTAAATATAATCAAGATCAGCTCGTGGAAACACTGGTGAACACAAGAAACCCCTCTCTAACGTATGTGAAAAGGCTCGGTAGCACGACAAACGTTATACTGCTCTATGAAGGAAACCGAGTTCCTTCGTGGGTTTACTTCAACAGCGTTATGATAAGAGTATCTCTGTACCGGAAACAGATAGACTTCTGCAAGGAATGGGGCAGGCTCGGCCACAAACCTGACGTGTGCCCAAGACCAGTTATCAAACTGTGCCCAATGGTGGATTAAAGAACCCCATCAATGGACACAAGTGTACGCGCCAGTGCCGAATATGTGGTGAGGCGCACCCCACGGCTGACCGGATGTGCGAGGCCAAATACAAGGTGCCGGACATAGTGAAGCAGAGAAGGTGGAAGGCCAGGTTCAGAGACTTTCAAGAGCGAACCTCGTCACCATCGGATAGCAATGCTGGTGCGGTGGAAGGATGCCACCCTAGTCGCTCGAGATCCAGAACCCGCTCCCAACAGGTCGTGAGTCGTTCAAACAGATCCGTATCCCCCTCGCCGGTAGAAAGACGGAGCAAAAGTCGTAGTACGAGCAGAAGTCAGAGTCGGAGCAGAAGCAGCAGCGAGAAGCGACACCACCCTCAACAAGACATAAGAGGGGCCACACCTAGCGGGAAACAGAAAGGGCCGTGCAAAATCACCTGGCATGACATAGTCACGGGAACAAAGGCGGACTCCACACAGGGCCACCCTCTCTCCGGCCACCCGTGGGCAGCCGCCGACCCCGGCCTGGCAGCGAGGATGGAGAACATTGAGAAAGAGAACAGGGAGCTTAGACAAGAGTTGGCCAAGGCCAGAAAGCAGAATGAAAAATCAACGCGGAAAATTGAGGAGCTACAACAGACACTGAACGAAATCCTCAAGCAAATGGGAGGACACCCCGCAGAGACCCCATCCTCTGGCGTCTCCTCGTCCCATGGAGCTGCTGATGAACGCGACACAACTTCAGCAGTAAGAGACGGGGACACAGACTTGAGCTGTGGAGATGAATATGAAGCGCCGGTGGCGGTGGGCTTTAAGCGCAAGGAACCAAGCAATTCTCAACAGTTTGAAGGCACTGAAAATCACATGCAAGAAACGAAGCGGGCATGACCGGCAGGCCAAAAGATAGACGGGATCGAAGAAATGGTGGACAAACTAACCAACAAGACACAGTGACTGTTTGAGACGCTCCTCAGTCGGCTGAACGAGTCTGACGCCAAAAGGAACGCACAGTATGCCGTGGCCAATAACCAACTTGCGGCCATGAATAAGCGCATCCAATATCTGACACGCGGGACGGCGCAGTTGCAGCAACAGGGATGAGGCCACGACGAACTGGGAGGGGACGCATCGACGATTCTCAACAGAAGCAGCAATGTCAACACCACCCACACTGAAAAAGGAGGGACGCACGGACAGTCGCGTTCCCCCAACGCCTTTGAATAGCAACCATGGCTGCGTCCGGCAAGTTTGTCGGCAGACGCACCGTCTGGCAATGGAACTGTAGGGGCTTCAAAAACAAAAAAGTTACAATGGTGCAATATATGAAAACTCTCTCGAAAAGCAAACTCCCCGACGTGATTGCATTGCAAGAACCTTTTGACCGGGCTCAGCTACCAGGCTATGTGGCATGTGGCTCTCCGTGCGAATGCACGCGGAAGGACATAAAGGTGTGTACCCTAGTTAAAAGAAAGACGGCCTTTCTCGACCATTCACTTGATATCAGCGAGGAGTTGGACATAGACCACAACCGGATTGAGGTCGTGCCCTGCATTGGAAACTGGAAGACCGGCCTATTCGTGCTTAATGTGTACAACCCCACTTCAAAAAGAGGCCTCACGCACAACTTTGGCGCCCTTTGTCGTGAAGCGATGGCGAATGCCGCCTCCAGTCGCCTCTTAATCTGCGGAGACTTCAATGCACCGCGCACGCAATGGGGATATGGAGCCGACTCGCCCGAAGGGAAGAAGCTAGCCGAATTGATGGACGAGCTTGGCTTGGTTCTACCCAATGAACCGGCATCGCACACCCAGATTGGACAGGGCGCGTGCCGCGACACGTCCCCTGATCTCTCCGTTTGGTCAGACGCGGGCGCGATCACTTGGTCGAACACCTTTGAGGATCTGGGGAGCAACCACAGAGTCCTGTGCATGACAATGGGAGAGGATAGAGGCAAAATGCACGGCTGTCAAAAAGCTAGAGTCATGTACTGGGACAAGTTTCGAGAGCAAAGAGAACGAGAGAAGCAGGAAGGGCCGATTGAGGATATCGGGGAATGGTGCAGGGAACTACTCGCGGACGTAGAAAAAGCTACAAAAGAAATAGAATGGCCAGACAGGCGAAAAGAGCCTAAAGGTGGCGACAGGCCCTGCGGAAGCGTCGACGACAGCGTTCCCGAGCCGTCCATGGTGGACAGCCGGCTTGCGCATTTTGTAGAGGCCAAGAAATCTATGCAGCGAAGAGCGAGTCAGCAGAAACTGAACAGGAAGATACGCAAAAAGATTGCCGAGATCAACCGAGAGATTGAGGCCCACTGTGTTCGACTGTGCGAACAGGAATAGCAGGAGCTGTGCGATACGATGAACGGAAACATGAGTGCAGGGCGCATATGGAATATTCTCACGCACCTGCTGAATCCAACCAGCACGAGAACGGCGACTCGTGTCCAGATGGCCAAGCTACGACACAAGTACAAAGATGATCCGCAGGCCTTCGTGGAGGAGATCATCCAGACGCACCTCACTCGCCCGGCAGGTGAGAGTCGCATGGAATACTGTGGGGCTCCCAACGAGGAACTAGACGCGGAAATTTTCATGCAGGAAATTAGAGCAGTCCTTCAGCTACTGAAGACCAAATCGGCACCCGGTCCTGACAAGATGAGGAACCTGAATGTTGATGCCATTGAGAAGCTACGTCAGTATATCAACGCATGCTGGAAGGAAGGCCGTATTCCACAAGAACGGAAGACAGCGGATGCCATACTGATACCCAAGCCAGGTAAACCGCTTGAGGTTCGAAATATGAGGCCGTTATCTCTGACGTCCTGCGTCGGGAAAGTCATGGAGCACGCCTGCCTCAACAGGGTGACGACGATTCCCGAGAAGCGGGATGCCTTCGGCACTCACATTATCGGCTTCCGCAGAGGACTTTCAATGCAGGATGCTATGCTGCAAATTAAGGAACAGGTCATTAAGCACCAAGCACGCACGTGCGCGCCCTGCTTGGGTTAGACCTCAAAAGCGCCTTCGATACAGTAAAACATGCTGCCATTTTGGACAACATAGCCAACTAGGTCTTGGTTCAAGGTTCCACCGGTTCGTCAGCAGCTTCCTGACCGGACGCAAGGCGATGGTGAAGGTCGGAGGTGCCACACCACGAACAATTGACATGGGAGGTGCGGGTACGCCACAGGGCTCGGTGCTCTCTCCCACGCTTTTCAAGCTCATCATGATCGGACTACCGGACCGTCTCAATGCAATAGAGGACATCAATCACACGATCTACGCAGACGACGTGACCGTGTTGACAACAGCGAATACGAGCGTTGGTGAAATGCAAGAGGGAATGCAGCAGGCCGTCCGGGCCGTGGAGTGGGAACTCGAAGGCACGGGACTCGTCTGCTCTCCCAATAAATTGGAAATGCTCCTGCATAGACCACGCAAGAAAGAACCTCACCCGCAGGCTGTACTGGACGCCCGTCGCATGGGCATCCAGGTCATGACGAAGGAGGGGACCCAAATAGCAACGGTGTGCAAAAAAATACGAGTGCTCGGCCTGTGGCTGGAAAAGAACGGTTCGAACCACAAGCTGGTAGCACGACTGCAAAAGAAAGTGGCTGCCGCAACGCACCTTGTGCATAGCGTAGCGAAACAAAATGGCAGCATATTCACGGAGTGAATGATGGAGAGTGGGGCGAAGCATTCGTCCTTCGTCCGTCCATGCGTCCGGCTGTGTAACCGTCCATGCATCTGTTCGTGCGCCTGTCCCTGCGTTCGTTCATGCATCCGCCCCTGCGTCTGTTCATGCGTCCATCCATGCATCTGTCTGTGTGTCCGTTCGTCCATCTGTTCAACACTCCAAGTCCCACCATCTCGCTTCTTTTTATCATATATTCCCCATATAGAAGCACTGCCATTCAGTGGACATTCCAAGGACTAAACGAGAGGTGGCACGCGCACACTTTCTTACGGCTTGCGCTTCGGGTCTACTTACCACCTTAAACCACCTTGAGTTCATGGTATATACTAGTTCACTGTATTCATGGCGCTGCGGCCCAATGCTCGCTAAACCTTTCTAAAACCAAGGAGGTTACGCCCAGCGAGTATAACGTAGCAACCTTTTCCTGTCAGATAGTGCTCAATGTACATGCCAATGGCTGCTAATGGGGATCGCAGCATGCGCGTTGACTAAAAGCCGAATGCTCCTGTCTTTCATTCCCCATTAGCAGCCATTGGCATGTACATTGAGCACTATTTTTTATTGTTAAACAACGCACAGAAGAATTCTCTCACTGGCACCACCTTGGAGGTCAAATGTTATACCTATTTCGGGTATGTGCCACTGGTGGTTACGTACTACGAGGGACGCCCAAGCCACGCCATAAGGAGCTTCGCCCCTAAAAAGAAAAGGGCTAAAGGAACACAACATCACGAAGTTAATACATGCGTACGTGCTGAGCCACATAGCGTTTGTCGCCGCGTATGCCGACTGGAACAGAAGTGAAACCGAGAAGCTGAACGCGGCGATTCGTTTAGCGTTCAAGGTAGCCCTGGTGTGCCCCAGTACACGGAAATACGTAGGCTTCTGGAGCTGGGTGTGCACAACACCATCGACGAGATAGCAGAAGCGCAGAGGATCGCGCAGCTCCAGAGGTTGTCTGCCACAAGAACGGGAAGACGCATTCTCGATCTGCTCGGGAGTTGATATCATGAGGCGCGTGGACTGAAGGAAGCATTGCTACCGGACGTCAGGGACGCCATACTGACACAAAACGTCCCCAGGAACATGCACCCCGTTCACGACTTGCAACGACGCAAATGCAGAGCTGCAGCAATCCTGAAAGTGCATGGAAGCCAAAAGGGTGTCCTCTTCATCGAGGTGGCCAGGTATCCACTGTCAGCCGGCGGCGGCAATGGGTGACGCTCGGAACCCCCGCCGCTACCCGCGAACGAGCGAGGCGAAGTCGAGGCACTAACACTGCCACCACTGCTACTGCTACGACAACAATGACTGCAGCGACAGTGGGAACATCAACAGCGAGTCCGGTGAGCGGTGGGGGGACCTGCTTTCTCTTAGCGGTCCTGGATACAACAGGAAAGGTTCAGGTCATGCCATCAGCGCGGCTGCCATCGCCCGATGCTGCAGAAGAAATGGCCATAGCTTTAGCGGTACTCCACAGCGGTGCAGACGAGAGCCTGATTGTTAGCGATGCTAAATCAGCAATTCGGAGCTATAATAAAGGCTGGGTGTCCGAGGACGAGGCAAGATTACTGACAAGGCCCTCAAGTGGTTTCCCGCTCACATGGCGTACAGTGGAACTATCAACAACAACAGCCGTAAAACTAGCAGCAACAATGCCAACAGCCAAAGACTAACAGGCATTCCACCCAACCATAACGAGCGCGCCCACCTCGTCGCGAGGCACCCCGCCGCGCCGCGACGCAGCCACCCAGGGAGCAGCCGCCACCGTGGTTGGGAGGAGCACTGGCCGAGGCACGGTGGTGGCCACAGGCACTGGCAATGCCGAAATTACCACCCCCACCACGTCCGTTGCTGCAGCAACTGAAGTTGGTGCAGAAGGGGCGAGACAACAGAGGTGCGCCGACTGCTATGGAGAAGAATTTCCTTCCACGTACCACGACGTGCTTTCGCACTATAGGAAAGACCGGAGGAAATTTCCGCAACCCCACGTGCGCCTGGACAGGTCGCAGGCGGTGGGCCTGAGAAGGCTGCAGACGGGCACGTTCACTGACCCCTACCATCTGCACCGCTTATGGCCCACGCTGCACCCGTCGCCTGGACGCCCGTGGTGTGGGCACGAACGGGCCGATATGGCACATTTACTTTGGCAATTAGAAAGAGATGAAGATAGGCCACTAGAAAGAATGACGTAAACTGAGGGACCCACCGAAATGGGGCACCTTGCTGATCGATGGCAAGCCGCCCTTCTCAGCGAGGTCCTCGAAGACCACGCGTGAGCCGTCCAGCGGGCCAGGGCCGTCGCCGAGGACCACAAAAGATGTTCCTCGAACGATGTGTCTCTGACAGCTTAGACACGGGCGCAGCAACAATCGTTGGGCAAATAAATTTTATTCAACTCGGCAGTTTGCAGGATGGCGTGAGGTGTCCAGTGAGAAGCATGTAGAGGGGCCACCTGCGAAGACGATTTCGTTCTGACGCCGTAGCACAGGGCTGTGTCCCAACACGATATTTGACAAAGACAGACCACAATTGTCCTCTAGTGGCACTGGTCCACCTGGAGGCTCCGAGGATTTGTAGCTCTATTCTAGACGCTGAAGGTAAGCATCATACCCCGGGCTAACTTCTTCATTGTGTATACATGACTTTTGCACCGAAACAACGTTAAATGGCACCGTGAAATGTTCCAGGTCTTGCTGCCAAGCGGAACCAGAGCCAAGTCTAAAATAGGCTGCTCGTGGATCATGATCTGGATGCACTAGCTGTACAAGAAACAAAAGTAGGCGGTTGGGAAGAGACCCAGGGCATGGTGCTAAGGTTTACGGTGCGTTACTATGCGATTTTAAATCAAGCAATTGGCACGTATGTAGGCTGCGCCTTGTTCATTAAGCATTAGCGGGTCTGGTAGTGCAAGATACCTTCTCTTGCCCGTTTGGTAGGTTGGTTTTCTGTGATATTGTATTTAATGAATGTCAGTGGCGTAGTGTGAGTATTTATGCACCAAACATTTGCGAGGAATGTTACTTGGTGATTTTAACTGCGTCCCCAACGGGCGAGATCGATCAAACGGACGCGCCATGTACGATAAAAGTAGTAGGGCGCTTGCACACAAAATTACTGAACTCAAATGAGAAGACGTGGGCAGCTGTTTGGAGGGAACGCGGGAAGTGCATTTTACCCATTTTCAGGAGAATGGCCATGCACGCCTGGACCGCATCTATCTGTCGCTTGAAATAATAGCCCACTGCAAGACATATGCTGTCTACCCAATACACTTCAGTGATCATTGTTTAGTGAAATATGATATGGGAGAGAAAACAAAAGGCGGAACTTTTTCATGGGAGCTGTGGAAGATGAATTACACTTTGATCACTGACGAATATTTCTTAGATCACGTAATGAACTGCATCAATGAAAGAAAAATAGATGATGAAGTTACACTTGCAGAACAACGCGGGAAGAGTTCAAGCAGAGAATAAAAATAAAAGCTATTGATCGATCTTGCGCATTGAGATACGAAAGGAAAAAGAAAGAAAACAACTCCGAAGGACTTCAGAAAGGTTGATTGACTTAGAGCACAAACAACCAGGAGAATATAAAATTGAAATACGCAATGTTAGGCAGAAACTTGCACTGCATGACGAGTAACGCTACCGCGGTGCACTCGTCCGTGCTAGGGCGGAGGCTTTAGCTGCTGGGAAGACGCCAACCAAAAGAGTGTGGGGGGGGAAAAAACGCACTCTCGACGGAATCATATCGAAAAAATAGAGAAGGATGCACACGAAGATACCTATACCGACAGCATTTCATCCGTGTTTTCAAGGTAATTTGGAAACCTCATTGCGTGTAGACAGATAAACCTAGAAAAGTTTAAAAAGAAATATTTAGGACGCAGGCCACAAGTCAGTGAGGAAGTGAAAAGTGCTCTGGAATTATCCATATCTGCATCTGAAGTTGAACGGACGATTGATACGTTAAATCTCGGGAAATCTCCAGGACCAGATGGTCTTTGCGCCAAGTGGTACAGATATCTTAAATGTGAATTGTCTCCTATACTTGCAGGCGTTTTTACCGAGGCATATGAGCAAAAGAAATTACCACCGTCCTTTGGCGAATCACGTACCGTTCTGATTCCGAAGACAGACAAGGTTAAAAAGCTCAGGCACGTGCAGCGTACAGGCCAATCGCACTGAGAAACGTAGACTACAATATAATATTGAAAATTTTGGTGGCTTGACTTCAGTCAGTAATAAAAGATATCGTCGGTCCACACCAGACGTGTGGAATCAAAGGTTGGTCCTTAGTAACAAAT